GCGGGCTGGTCCCATCCCAAGCAGGCACCTGGGGCTGTCGTGGCTGTCGTGGCTGCTAGTGGGCCTAACGGGCTTGACGATCAAGCTGCGACCCTCGGGCCACAGGTCTGGTGCTGCAACCACTTCGGCAACTCCTGCGCCTGAGAGGCACAGAATGTAAACTAGTACATCTCGTGTACTGAACCTTGAAGGCTTGAAAGGCCCACGCCATCCTCTCGATTGGAGATGATGCTCATGCCGCAAGGTCATTTTATATGCATTTTGGGCCCGGCTGTCAGGAGGTGGCAAGCCGAAGGCATGTCGTCCTGGCCACACGCACTCCTCGGGATGCAGCATGCGCATGTGGGGCTCGGTTATCTTAGATATCCTACTACGTTGCTACGGCCAAATTCCAGGAAGATCCATGCGGGTCCCTTGCTCGCCTCACTTTCTTTTCTCCGCGCTACCTCGTTGCAAGCGAAGCATTGCAATGCTGGAGCTCGTTGGATGTTATCGAGATTTTCGGCTTGCGAACTCTGCCTGGATGGCATGCGGAACCCTCTCGCTGTGTAGCACTTTCATGTATTGTAGTTATGCAGTTTTGTGACAAAAAGCAGGTCAGGCCAGCCCTGTTCCAAGCCAGACGACCCGAATACCTGTCGCTGTTGCACTGTGTTGATGAGCGAAACTTGCTCGCGAGATGTAAGAAAGGTGGGAGGTCATATGCTCACTTCACCGCCGGCCATGTGGGCCATGCTGAACTGCTTGCATGCTGCTTCGGCTCAGCCCGGCATGATGAAGATGCCGTTCGAGCAGAGCAAGCAAGGGACACGCTCGGCCCGTATCCACCAGCAAAACTAGTCACATGCCACATCGCACCGAGCGTCGCCGATGGTACCTGTGTGTCAGGTGGCAAAGCAAGTGCTCAATTTGTGGCGATTATATTGTACAGTATATATTATCTAGAATATATATATATATATATGTATATCATATGATATATTAAGTAGGCTTGCTTTCGTTAAAGCTGGGAGTTGTTCCCCTTTGGGAGGCGCTGGGCCTCGAGTTTCGACCTGTCCGCTGGAATGGATCGGCGAGGTGAACTTCTTGCTTCAGAACAGTATAATGGCATGGAGCCGTCCACTTGCAGACAGGGTTGACCCAGCTTCGGCTCTGTTTGCAACTTGCAACTAGCAATTATCTGCAACTTCACGGTCGATCCAGAATGCTTTCAACCGCTTAAAAACGTTGTCGAACCTTGGCTGTGCAAGTGCTCAAGGGGAACAAAGCCTCAGCTCGTAGGACACCTTCAGATTTTCCTCCCCTGCCAAGTATGCCAGACGCTTGGGACAAGTTTGGAAAAACGGTGGAAGTTAGCGGCGAGGGTATGGTTCTTACCAAGACAAGTGGTGGCAACTACTCCCGGCATGCTGCAGCCAAAGAGTTGCTCTCCTCCGGCGTGCACAGCTGGGAGGTGGAACTCACATCAGGTGCAACCCAAAATAACAATCGCGACATGTTTATCGGAGTCGCGGCACCGGGATGTGATGTTGAGAAGGGCGATCATCATGACAAGGGCAAGGCATGGTATCTCCGCACGCATGACGGAAACGTCTATGGTGGTGACATCGACTGCGAGGATGCGGCGAAGAAGGGCAAGTTCTTCCTTGTAGGAGATCGGGTCGGGTTGCGACTCGACTGCAATGATGGCTCGCTGCGCTTCTACAAGAATGGTGAGCCGTTCGGAGAACCTCGGCAGTCGTAGCGACTCTTTTTTGTCTGGTTGTGGTTTGAGTTCCTCATTTTGAAAAGGGAGCCCACAAAAAAGATCCTTCTGCTTTCCGCCCTAAAAGAAACCAAGGAGCAGTTTCCACCCGGCACGATCTCCATGCCCGTGGTCCGCGCCGTCGAGCTGAAGTGCAATGGCCAGTCGGTGACGCTTTTTCCGGAAGTGCAGCTGGCATAAGTGCAGATACATAGCAAGCCAGTGGTCAAGAACGTTTCCAGAAGTTATTCATCTGGTTCTGTGCGAAGCTCATCCAAGACGCACAATGCTTCAAGATTGGATGGCTCTGCCTTGCTGCCATTCTCGCTAGACCTGCTGTTGTCTTCACGCCAACATCGGCTGATGACTGTTCTGGTGATTGTACAGTTACATCAGACTTTTTTTCCCACAGTCAGTCTTCATCTGAACTTTGGCCAGATGACCTTGGGATCAAGTTGGATGCAAATGTGAATCCTGTCACTGTTCTAATCCCTAGTCATGCCCCGCTGAAAATTTGCTGTTGCCTAGTACAGCGATGCCTGGTTAGTGGTGAGTATGCATCCGCTCTATCCCGCGATGAAGCCTGCCGGATGTGCAACATGTTGCAACCCAGCTTGCGAGCACATGCCTTGCGGCTCTCAGATCTGTTGGTCGCTCTATTGAGGGGCCAAAGACCATACTATACCATTCATCGCAGGAATGTGCAACACAAAAAGGTGACATGCCCTGCACCATGCTGCTACGACCAAGGAGTTTGTTCGATTCAGGTTCGCAGGCGAACCCGCACTGCGCGAGACGGTTCTGGACGTTTTGAGAAGCGAGTTTCTCTGAGCTTCCGCATGCCACGGGCGAGCAAACCGTGCATAGCTTGACGCATGGATAAAAAAAATCAGTTCTGCTCCACCGTGGCGAAGCACCTCTATGTCCTTGCGTCGAGGGCACCCTCAGCCTTTCTACAGCTCCCTCGCTGCACAACCACATCTCAAAATAGCAGCTCAACATACAAGAAGCGTTCTTACGTAGGTTTCGAAATGGTACATAGTTTGCGCGTATGTCATGCTGTATCATGCTGTCCTCAACATTCAACTTCAGCTCGAATCCGCATCGACGAAAAGGCACGCCACCTGGTGCGGTCTTTGCTCTAGTGAGCCTGGCGTTGGTGAAAAATCCGTGCCTGATGGTTTCTCGCCTCAGACGACGCGTACGAGAGCACATGAATGCTCCGGGAACACCATCGAATCCAACACGTGCGCAGAATTTTCGGCTTCTTCAGTTTCTGCTTGTATTCGTTTTTCATCATGCCGGCCGGAGGCGTGAGCAGGGACGTTTGATCAGCTCATGTGAAGTGGTGGCCTTGTACTGTAGGTGCAGAACCTGATGGCTGCATGGCGGTGTGCTTTGAAGGCCGGGCATGTAGACTCACTGACTTCTCTCTGAGGCCAAGATGTGAAAGTCATCAAATGTGCACCCCGTGGCATCAGCAGTTAAAGAAGATGTGGAGATCAGGCAGTGTCTTTTGATCCCGACACGAAGATGGAGATGTCCCAAGATTCCGAATCCATGTCCCGCTTCGTTTCATTTGAGGTGACCCAAGCTCGGTGCACGAAACCGCTCAGTACAAGTATGTCGGTGAGAACCGTGGTGCCTACTCCCAGGCGTGTCAATCACGACCATGTAGAAGTGACAGGAAAGCAGCATGCAGCTTGATGTCAGTTTGCGCTCTGGCTGTGTCACCGGATGGATAGCCAAGACTGTGGGTTCCCTTTTGCCTGCAGGCCTCTCAAGTGCAGTATGTTGGTGCCGGCAGCTTGGCAGAACATCTCCATGAGGGAAACAGTATGGGACCAGAGATTCCGCAGAGCTCTGGAAGCCCGAAGCAGGACGTGGCAACCTCGAAGAAGTGAAGACGAGCCAAAGCGGTTGGAGGCCTCGACTCGCCCTTTTCTTAAGCGCCAGAAGCGGAGAGGTGCTTCTGGGATTCTCGTGTTGTTGCTTCACCCGTCTGCTCAACTTTCCGCTGGTCATTGCAGTGAGCGTCAGCAACATTGCCCACTGCATGGCTAAAACTTCAGTGTTTGCTTGGGAGCTGGTGTGTCCAGCGGTTGTTTGATGGCAGCTAGCAGCTGGCATCTGTTGCCTTGCTTTTGCCTTGCGAGGTTCAGGGGAGAATGCATCGCCATCCTTGCAGCGCTGCTGCTCTTCGCCTTCGGCTGCTCGGAATGTGAAGTAGCTAAGGCTTTGCATCATCTGCCTCCGAGCGTTTTGAGTGACTTTTGGAATCGCAGGGATAGGGTGTTGCTGTCTTCCTACACCCGGTCCAGCAATCACATCAGCAATTTCCGCAGCCATGCTAACATGCTGTGAAGTGCCGCAGGCTTGCTGCTGTGGCGGCTCTTCTTCTGGGATGCGGTTCCAGTTGGAGCGGACGACATAGCACCGCCAGTGCCGAGCTACGATCGATTCGACTGCTACGGAGGCTACCACGATTGGATGCACATGTGGGGAGAGGAGCAGCAGAAATACTGCTGCATGCACTTTGGCCGAGCTTGCCCTCTGCATGCAAAGCCACCGAAGGTGATCTATCACCATGTGCCCGTGTATGGCCAGCCTGAGACCAGGGTCGTGCATGTACCTGTGCCGGCTCCCGCACACAGTCATGTGGTCTACCGTTACGTTCACGAGCAACCACAGCAACCACGTTTCCGCTACAACTGCAACGAGGGCTTCTCGAATTGGTACTTCGGCTGGTCGGACCATAAGAAGGGATGGTGCTGCTCTCACGAGCATCTTGGTTGCCCCGGCACCTGGCATGGAAGCTACCACCTGAACATGCACGTGATGCACGGCATTGGCCATGCTCAAGGGCACATCTATGACTGCGATGCCGGGTTCTCCAACTGGATGCAAGGCTGGTCGGACTCCAAGAAGGATTGGTGCTGCTCGCATGAGCAGAAGGGCTGCGTCAAGTTCCACTGCACCGGCGAAGTGCCTTGGACTTTTTGGTCGAGCGGTTTTTGTCCTGCTTCGGCTGCTCTTGGCCGCTGTGCTTGTCTCAGGAGGCTTCCTGGGGTCCGGAAAAGTCGGAGTGGTGCCTTCGCCGCAGCTAGGACGGAACTCGCACACACCCTCGCGCTCGCACGCAGACGCACTGTGAGGTGCTGCGCGCACTTCCAGAAGGGCTGCCCCCACACGACGATGTCACCGGAGAAGTGCGAAACGCCCTGTGAGATCCACGGCC